GGCGTGCACGAAGACTGACGCGGGAGCGATCATCGCTGGCTGCCCTATGTTGCTTCAGCTTTGGGCAGCCGAGAGGTTTGCCATAGGTCGACTAGTGGTGGACAGCGCACCCTACGGGGTTGGACGCAGCGCGCAGTGGCCAGAGGACGGTCCCACGATGGGGACTTACTGGTGTCGACGTGGGGTTAGTGCAACTTCGCTGCATTATAAGTTTATCAGTCGTCTTCTTTTTTTTCTTCACATAACATGTCTAATTCCGATCATGTTTATTGCAGCGTCGTTACGCTCACGTCCAGGTGAGACGAGGTTACCCGGATTTCGTGTTCGAGTTTGACCGTCTCCAGCCGAGCGACGTCATCTGGGAGCCGTACACAGAAGAGGCCGTCGCTGCGAGAGCACCGCTAGGACTTTCGTCCTTGTGCACACGCGACCAGGCTTACTGGCTCACCATCCTACCGATGGTGTTCGACATTTTCGTTGAGCCTCACTGCCCGCAGCGTGTGATGAGACAGTTCGGACTTAGGCAGGTGTTTCCGGGCAACGTGCAGCCGACCGTCCTCCCTGCCGACCACTTGTGAGTTCGGATTGTTCATTTCTAAATTTTTATGATACTTACTTCATCGAGCCATATAATTTACCTCTCTTCACAGGTTGACTCGACGGGGACAGCTAGCAGGCGCACTTTGGGCTCCACGTGTACAACAGTACGTTGACGACTGGGTGTTAGCTACAGAGGAGGTGATCAACGAGCTCTTCCCACACACGGAGGAGAACTACCGTGACTACCTTCGCTGGTACCTTCCTCGCACTCGTGCGCGTGTGACCTTCACTCCAGACGCCCCAGAGCCGCACGTTGCCGCTGTCACGGACGCGTATCCCACGCACCGTGACCGAGACTACTTCGTGGGGGTACGTCGAATTTGTATTAGTTCTTACAATTATTTCATTTATCTTGCATAATATAGGACAACTACTGAATTTTTTATTTCCATCTTGCATAGGCTGATGCCGCACGGGATATCAGTGCCGATATCACCGCAGTCCAAGTGAGGTTGAACAGAGGTTTGCACTTGACTGACGTTGAGCAGAGGGTGACCTTCGACCGGATGCAGGAGAAGATGCGTGCGGTCATGCGCGTCTTCTCCTGTCGCAACGCCGTGGACGTCGTACCTCCAGCTGGTCCGGTACAACCACGGCCTCGCGCGCCTACCGTCGGAGCAGGACCTCGACCTACGGCACCTGTTTCGCACGGTACTGCTCAGCCCAGAGGTTTCTTAAGTTTTGTTTATGTTTTTGTACGAAAACATCACCCCGTCGTAACTTGATGTTCCATCCTCGCAGGACCTCGTTTGCCTTCGAGCGTCCCTAGCTTCGGAGCAGTGCGACCTACAGCACCGGTTTCGCATGGTACAGTTCAGCCCAGACATTAGTTCATTTTTGTTTCAGCTTTTGCACGAATATGTCACCATGTTTTAACTGCACGTTTCCTCATCGCAGGACCTCGTCTGCCTTCGAGCGCGTTCGCAGGCACGACCGGCGCTTCCGCGAGCTCCGCAGGGGCGTTCGCCACCTCTTCGGGCGCGTTCGCTAGCTCTTCCTCTCACGGAGCGTCGATCCCTCGCCCACACGGTACTTTACTTTTTATTAATACTATTAAATACATGTATGAAACTGATGGTCCTTGTCCAGCAGGATTTGCAGCCGGGATCTTCGTTACTGGGGCCTCTTCGTCTCACGTCGGTAGGACTGGTCCTACTAGCCAGTTCTACGACGACGACTTGCACGGTGCACACCACCACGACGTACTAGGCTCCTCTCAGCTTGGAGGAGCTCCAGAGGCGCACACTCAGGAGCAGCCAGAGGTCACACCTGTACAGGCAGGACGGGTTGGCTGTGCCGTACCCCCGGACCGACTCACGTACTCCCAGGGGCACATTAGGGCGCAGGGTAGGAGGGACAGGGGTAAGAGGCCTCGTCAGTAGTGTTCTACCTCTTCAGTCCTTATGTGACCGTTTCTTTTGGCTTACAAACTTGTAAAGCAGTACTACTTTTGCTATTACTACTGCAGTACTACTTGTGTTTGTCTCGTCTACATAGTTCTTTTCATTCATATGGTGCTAGAACAACTTATGCTCACGACAACACACTTTCGTACAATGGATTGACACAGTCAGAGTTACTTCAAGTGGCGGGCCGATAACGCAACCTGAACCGACCATACAGTTCATTCATGCTTGGATAGAGTACGAACGTCGGGTGGAAATTGCAAGCTTAGACTGGAGGAACAATCCATTAGGGTTACATAAATGGTCCGAGCGTCCAAAGTGTGGGTGCAGAGATCGCTGGCAGGTGGCTACATCCTTTGCTGAACAAACATTTCGAAGGAGATATTTTGTCTGTCCCAATGTAGACAACGATTTCGTTGTATGTCTAACCATTTACAAAATCCGCTATGATTTGCACAAAATTACTACCCAAACTGAATAACATTACTATTTTTACAGGGCAATCCAAGGATGGGTGGATTTACTCGATGGATCGACAATGTCACTCCATCATATCATGGCCAGAAGATAACAGAGTCAGAAACACAAGTAGAGTATCAACGATTGAAGGACCACGAGAATGCAATGCATTCTGACCGACCTAGAAGGGGCCGATAGGTTACCGCATGCTTGATTCGTCGGGATCGACAAATTTGTACCGTGTATCGATGGCACTTCTTATCTATCTTATCATTACAATGTTTAATTATGGTGGGGATTTTTTGTATGCGTAAGACTAAGGGCCTATTTGGATTGCTACCAAAAATATGCCCTACCAATATTTTGGTAATTTGAATAGTACTTGTGTTTGATTTCGATTGAAGCCTATTCATTGTTAATACGTAATCTAGATTTGAGATTATGTAGAACATTCTTCACTACAATTTTACATTTTGGCAGCAAACCAAATATGATCAAATGCAATTTTACCTTACCAAATATTTGGTAGTGCCAAAACTTGCTTATATTTTGGCACTAACAAAATATTTGTACGGTAACATTCCAAATAGGCCCTAAAAAATAATAAAATTGTATTTTACCAGTCTTGGAGATTTTAATCTTGTATAGTTTTCAATATAAAAAAATTTGATAACTATTGATATTTATAAAAAATATAAAGCACAGTATAAAATCGCCCTCCCCCAGGGCGGCAAGGGGGCCGCCTGCAAAATTCCAGGCCCCCCGCCGCCCATTTGCAGGCGGCCCCCCGCACAGTACAAAATCGCCCTAGCGGAGGGCGGCAAGGGGGCCGCCTGCAAATTTCGTTGACGGCCGTCGCCCGAGAGCGAACGGCCGTCTGCCACGTCACTTTCGCCGCCCTCTGGGATGGCGATTTTTAAAAATCGCCCTCCCAGAGGGCGGTAGGTGACCACTTCTGTCAATTTTCAAAATGAAAAATTATTTTTGTAAAACTTTTAATAAAAAAAATTAAAAATAAAAAAAATTCCTCTATCGGCTGGGCTGCGGAAGAGGGTAGCTAGTGAAAGATACATCGTGACGATATGCAATATTTGTGAGAATTTTTTTTCAGTAATTCAAAAGCTAATGACGCATAAGTTGTCATAAGATTGCTAATTTTATGAAAACACGACGATTTTCATGTCTATTATTTCTTTACCTACTTTAATATAGACAGTACACGTGACAAATAAGAATGAATGCCATTTTTAAAGACTCGTATTTTATTTTAAAACAAATAAAGAGTTCGGGAAAGAATATTCCCGGTACATCGCGATCGATCTTGCAACACAAAACCATCTTTTCCGAAGCTATTGTTATACTAAGAAAATTAATTAATTTCCAGATGAAACCATACAATAGTAATGAATGAGATCGATAGGAGAACTACAGCGTTGCCACCAGAAATACATCCATGGGCCTCATTTTACGTGCACTCTATGTCTCCATCAAATAAAACCGATAATCCTCTTCAGCTGTCTCCATGAAAATAACACAAGTTATTAGAGATTTATCGTTGAGTCGTCGTAGATTGTCATCTCCTAAAATGATTGCCTATTAATTTATTTACCTATATTAATAGACTGGTGTGGTAGAACCATTACCAGGACTCATCATCGCCTCTCACCCTAGAACCTCATTTCTGCATATCTAGACCCTTATGTTGATGCTCAAAAACAATCCAGCCAACGCCTCTCCTGATGTTCTTGACCCCACGTGGCCACGTCCTAATTAAGGTGGTGTTTATTTTAGTCCCTGTCAAATCGGATGTTTGACACTAATTAGAAGTATTTAACGTAGACTAATAATAAAACTTGCATAAATGAGAGCTAATTCGCGAGACAAATTTTTTAAGCCTAATTAATCCATAATTAGCACATGTTTACTGTAACTTCACATAGGCTAATCATGGATTAATTAGGCTCAATAGATTCGTCTCACGAATTAGTCCAGAGTTATGGAATATGTTTTGTCATTAGTCTACATTTAATCCTTCTAATTAGTGTCCAAGTATCCGGTGTGCCTATATCCAAACGAAGCCGAAAACTAGACAATGCATCCATAGAATCTTTAAAATACCTCACGAATCGACGGTCTTGATGCGACGAACATGTCCTGGGATGAGAAATCCAGAGCATAGAGTTACGTACGTGCAGCGGCGTATTATTTTTTGAAATTCGATTACCATATTATACTACTCCATGCCTGTGTTCTTAAAATATATGACATATTATATAGTAGCTTACTATAATATCTTGTCAACTTAAAAAAAATTAACATCATATGAAAATATTTTAATGAGGTCAGAGATATACCGCTCATCATATTAAAATATTTTAATGAGGCTAGAGATATACCGCTAGTCTCTTTGACTACGTTAGGGTCTAGGGGAGTTCGTGGGCGCGTGCAGATAGTGGTGTATGTGTATCTACGCTTCTTCCGTAAAAACATAGTATGAAAAAGGTTTGATCTGTGTAATGTTCTGACAGACAAAAATGTTGACAACATTTACATAATTATCTTTTATTGAAATACAGATCCCAAGCACACCAGCACACAAAAATCACAAAAAAAAAGAAACAAAAACAACAACACAATGCGTGTGCAAACGACGCTTATTACACATACTACTGGTCACTCACTTCCACACACTCGATCGATCGATCGATCATCAACTACCGGACTCCATTGATTTCATTCCATTTCACGGGTAGACCTCGATAACGGAGATAGGGCCCAACACCGGCGTGATCTTGTAGTCGCCGAAGCCGGCGTCGGAGAAGATGGCCCTCCACTCGCGCTCCTCCCGCCCGACGCCACTGATGCACATGAGGAAGAGGCTGTGCATGTCCTCCGCCTCCGCCACGTTGGCGTCGCGCGACGCCGCCGACGAGCCCAGCACCAGCTCCGTTATGATCACCTTCCCTCCGGCCTCCCTCGCCGGGATCGCCTCCCTGCAGTTCCGGAGAATCCTCACGCAGTCGTCGTCTCCCCAGCAGTGCAACACGTACTAGGGAAGAAGAAGATTATCTTTTTTTGTTAATCTCAAAGGTAATTAATTTAGGAGTAAATTTCAGAAAACCTCATGTTTTATGGTCAAAATTTTAGAAAACACGTGTATTTTCACTTGTGACACGTAACCACAGGTTTTGTGGTCTAAATATTTCATACAATTAAACCCCACTTTTTGTTCAAATATCCATTAGTTCTAGTATATCTGAAACAATATTTTTTAAAGTAGTAAAGAGTTAAACAATCTATGTTTTAAAATTTCTATTAAATTCATACTGACCAACATGTTTTGGGGTGGGGTTTTATGAAACTTTAGAACCATAATAGTTGGAGTTATGTGCAACCACATAGGGTTTTGTGTAATGTTGACCATAAAACATAGGGTTTTCTGAAATTTACACGTGTTCTTAATCATATGTGCCTATGTGATACGTACTTTGAGTAGAACAGCGTCCGCTGGTGGAATGGATTGGAACATGTCGCCGGCGACGAGATGCAGGTTGCCGTCGTCGGAGACGGGGGCGTCGGCGACGACGTGGGGGAGGTCCATCACGGTGCACTTGATGTCCGGGAAGGCCGCGGCGATGGCCTTGGCGACCGCGCCGTGGCCGCCGCCGACGTCGACCAGCGAGCGCAGCCCGCGGAACACGCCGGCGTGGTCCCTGAGGACGGCCTCGATCAGCAGCTGGCTCTCCACGAAGCTGTGCGCGTTCATGGTGTCGTTGTCCGCGTTCGCCGCGTCCCACCTGGACCGCCCGTGCGCCAGCTCGAACAGCGACCTCGCCGCGGGCGGCGCCGCCGCCGGCGCGGCGCGCAGCCATGCGTGCATGTCGAAGAACGGGGAGACGGCGACGGGGCCCGCCGCGAAGCGCACCACGGTGGACAGCCCGCGCGGGCCGACGACGAGGCCGGACGCTGCGGTGAGCGTGTACATGGTCGACGTCGCGACGGCGGGCTCGCCCTCGCCGCCGTCGGTCGTGGCGGCGGTGGCGGCGAACATGCCCGAGGTGGTGAGCAGCTTCATGAGGCACCGGAGGTCGGTGAGTCTGGACGCGTGCACGCCGGTATCGGCGGCGATGTTGGCCAGGGTGGCGGCGCCGCCGCGGCGGTGGATCGCGTCGGGGATGCCGAGCTCCACGGCGCACTTGAGCGCCATGGGCTTGATGTAGCTGAACACGTGGTGGTAGAGCAGCGCGAAGGCTCCGACCATGTCCTCCTCATGGGAGATCACTTCTTCGCTTCCATGGATTAACGCCATTGATGAAATGGTGATGATTCTCTAATTACCTGAACTACTACGAGCAGCTGGCTTTGTCTCTTAATTTCCTGTGACTAGGGCTTACTTTCTTCTGCGATGTGCCTGTTCCTTTATATAGAGGACGGATCGAGGAGTACTTGTCATCGATTTTCTCTATGGGTGACTACTTAGATATACTACTAAGTTTGAAAATATTAGTTGTTTAGGATGAGGTAGGATGAGTTAGGCCTATTCTTGTTTTAGGTCTATTTAAAAATATACCGATAATTTTTTTAAAATGTATCATTTAATTATAGTATTAACATAGTGTAATTACGTTGTAACTTATATGTGCAATATAAATTGCACGTAACTAAACGAAAAGAGTTGGTTGCCAGTAATTGGTAGGCTTTGCAAGGCATAGGTAGCAGGTTTGATCCTGCGCGCCTTTCTGTCCTGCTATTACGCTCGATTTTATGTACAACATGGATCTTAAGGCGTACAGACGCACAGTCTAGTAATCAACGTAAAAAATATGTCGCTACTTTTTTTTAAGGAACTCCCTTGTTTTATGGTATAGGATGCTCGCAACTATCTCTTTGACATAAGGGATGGAATTAATGGACTTATTTGCGATGAGAGGGAGTGGCCTGCATGTTAGTTAGGAGAAAAGGGAGTTGTGTTAATTAGTCTGTTAGAGCATGACCAACAACTTTCTTATTCTATTTCATATATCCTCATATTTAGGAAAATTTGGTCAAAATCGCATCCAACATAATCCCTAATTAATCGGTTTTCCAATAATCCAGGTTCCCAAATCCGGATATCTCGTTCACCACTTCAAGGAGCAATTTTTTTTTGTTCCCAATCGCTCTCTCCTGCGCGCACGGAGTAAAAAAATCGCGAGATGAAGGAGGAGTTGGCTTGGCGTTATGCGCGCGTAGGGGAAGAGATCAGCGTAGGGGAGAAGCAGAAAACTGATTTTTTTTTATGGTAATTAAAGGGTGGGCTCACTTTTTATTATAGGAAATCAATTTTAGGCTATCTCTTGAAAAGATTAGCTTTCTCACTTCCTATATTCAGTTTAAGTGCTCCAAAAAACATAGTTTTGGGAATTGATTATTGTCAATCTCTTGGTGATGCTCTTAGTCTTTGAGGTGTAGAGCTGACCTAGATCTTAAGTAAATATTTTTAAAGGGATTATTGCATCCCAACTATCCCAAATCAAACACCCCAAAAATATAATCATCTTATCCCATCCCTTCAACCAAAATACTAAGGCATATTACATGTTCTCTAAGTATACTTGGCCATTAATTTATTCCATAAATATATTATTCACAAGTAAAGAATTAACATCAGAGGAAAATATTTTGAAATGCGTATGGCACTAAACACATATGCTTTTTTCTTTAATTATTAGTAAAAACTTTTAGTATTAACCTAATTGAAAAACAAGGACACAATTATATTCTCAAACTAAGTGAGTAGTTTATGACGTCATATTTTTTTTTAAAAAAGTCAAATTATGTTTATAATGTAAATTACTGCTTTTTACATTACTGTAACTAGCTGAATGCCCATGCGTTGCAACGGGAATTAAAGAAAGAATTTAAAACCTCAAACATTAAAATAAAATTATCCCCATTGTAAATCATTCACATCATATTTTCATCATTTTATATCCCAGTTTAAAATAAACTTTCCTTGTTTGATGGCTTCTGGTTGGGGAAAGGATGAAAGTCCATCTATCACACTGTTTGGGAGACAACACATGGTAGTGGTGGTGGGTGGTGGCAGATTCAGCACTCACCACTGCCATTGGGGTCTTCTAGAGGAGTATATATATTTTAATCTTATTATTATTATATTGTTTAGTTAAAATCAAATTCATTGTGAAAATTCACTTGGATATATATATTTTTAGAAAATCATGAGTTGCAGTTAGGAGTCCGTTCGTAAAGTTAGCATGCGAGTTTTCTTATACGACTCCTTCTGTATATGAAAAGCGAATGAATTTAAAAACCGACTTAAATACAGATTTGTATTTACAAGAGTGAACGAACTTAAAAACTGACTCATACACAGATGACATATCAAAGTACCGATAAAAACATCTTCAATTTTTATAATAGTAGAGATAGAGATAGAGATTCAACTACACTTGTGTGATGTGATAACGTTATTTGTTTTTCAAAGAAACAATGTCCGAGTCAATCAAAGCAATGTAAATGGGACTGCCTATACATCATGTGATAGATTTTTTAGCCTCATATCATGCAGATTTCTTACCCTTTGGATCAACATCTAATGGATGACATTAATATACACAAACAAAATACATATGTAATTTTAGTGTATTTATGATGTAAGTCTAAAAATTACATATGCAATTTTAGTATATTTACGATGTAAGTATGAAAATTACATATGTAATTATAGTGTATTTATGATGTAAGCCTGAAAATTACATATGTAATTATGGTGTAAGTACGATGTAATTAGTACGCGTGGGATCATAAACAAAGTAGCATCGGAAAACACAGCTCAAATCCATAAATGATGGAGTCAGCAACTACTGATTTGGGCTCAGACACTAGTGAACAGTAACGTGGACCTAGTTAGCAGCTAGATGCTAGCATAGATCTCAAAAACCATCTGACGGCTTAAAAAAACGAATGACGGAAGGCTCATAAATCTGTCAAACGATAGTTAGCAATTCCGTAAAGATAAAGATAAAATTAAGAAATGGACTCTAATACGGATGACGTACCAAACCACCGGCAAAAATATCTTCAATTTTATAATAGTAGAGATAGAGATATATAATATATAAGAGAATTAAGATTTAAAAGTATTGGCTTAATTACTCCTACTTAAATACTTCCTCCGTTTCATATTATAAGACTTTCTAGCATTGCCCACATTCATATATATGTTAATGAATCTAGACATATATGTGTGCTAAATTCATTAGCATCTATATGAGTGTGGGCAATGCTAGAAAGACTTATAACCTAAAATGGAGGGAGTATAAGAAAAGTTTAGTTACATATAAGATAAATGACAATAATGGAATAGAGAAAAAAAAAGACTTGAAGTACTAAAGTAAAAAATGATACATATTGTTTTAAGCTAAACAGTTACTACTCTAGGTAAATAATACATATTGTCTTAAGCTAAACCGTTACTCTAGGGCATAGAAAATTAGAAACACATGCGCACACCACTCCGGACCTCCTGTTGCCACGGCGTTCAAAAGGATGTGCACGTACATGCATATGCATATGCATGATGCATGTGTTTTTGGATCGATCGGACATTTTGGGGATGAAAAATTTGACCCTGAATTTTCCTCTCTAAGTGACTAGCTAGCAATTTTGTTCCACGCTTATTTGAAGTACTACGACGTAGCACGACCGGTAAAAAACAGAGAGGAGCTGGAGTTACGAGTCACTGGAAAAGTATATATATCTGGACAGGAAAAAACCACCGAAAATTTACGGTCCACTGTTGACGATCGAGCGAGCCGTATACTACGTCTAACGTACGCAGTAACTTCGTCTAGCCCGCCAGGGTTGATCGTCCCTGTAGGACGGCCAGGACAGCGCTCAACGTTTTCACGTTTTCATTATGGTGGGACGCATGTCCATAAAATTTAAGTCCTAGACTTGGTATGTATGGGTGCTCGTATTTACGATTAATTATTTTTCCAGTGATAATTGGCGCGCACCCGTTGACTCTGTGGCGTCCGTAGTAACGTCATCGTCTCGCCTGCCAGGGTTGATTGTCCCTGCAGGACGGCTGGGACAACTATCAATGTTTTCATGTGTATTTTTACCGGGAAATTAAGCTAGCTCCGATCGAGACTGTTTTTATCCCTCGTCGAGGGCGAGCTAGATTCGTCGCTGCCGATCTTGGAGAATACAGAAAAGGGATCGGTGGTGAAGGTGAACATAGCTCAAATGATTAAGTTTTTAATGATGAAACTTGTCCATCCGAATTCAAGTTCTAGTTCTCGACTTGTATATATGGATGATCATATTTACGATTAATTATTCTTCCAGTGATCGTCAACGCACCCGTTGACACGCTAAGGCGCATGTGGAAAATTCGTCAATCTTAAAATGCATCATCCTAAATTTTCATAGGTGCTCATAAAAATAGGGTTTGCGCGTGTGCTTTGTGAGCGTTTGTGTTTGTTTCTCAAAAACGAAAGGATTTTGGCGTGGAGAGCAGATATGATAGAGAGAGATGCTAGAGTGATTCTTTTCTCATTTCACCGGTTGCCGGAAGGTCTAAAGTCTTGTGCATGGTTGTATTCTCCCCAACCCACACCCACGCACACGCCCTCCGGGCCCCACATCTCAGTGACTCACATCAAGAACCATTACAATCATGAGTTTTTCTCTGGTGGAGACGCCTTCTGACTCCTCTAATATTTTGGAATGCAATTTTATAATTTGCTTAGAAAGAAATATGCTTAAATTAAGGGTAAATTAGTGATGGGATGTGCTGGAGAAAATTCTCCATATGCCACTCAAACAGTACAGGGCCAAACAGGACTTTGGCCCAGCCCAGCTAGGTAGAAAGCCGTATACTGTGCTGTCTTTCCAACTACATGATGCTGCTTAGTTAAAAAAAATCTCAAATCCTCATGTGAATTATTATGCTTAAAATCGACGCAAAAACTTACTATGTGGCTAATAAAATAACAAGCTAGCTCTGGCAACAAAGAATTTTCATAAATATAACACGGCCTCTCCCAATTCACTGGCGAGAAAATATATACCAAAAAGAAAAAAGTCGCTGGATATTGATATTTATATATGCAACAAAATTTGAAACTACAAAAAAAGTGCCTTTTTCATAGAAGGGTAATCATGTGACGGTACTCGCTTCTGAGAAGGCGGTTCTCGGCCATCATCCTTCGAACGAGCATCAGATCAGCTTGCTCCGACCAATCAAGGCGCAGGCTCCATGCAACCCTGACCATCGGATCAACGATCAGACGGTCAAGATTGGGTGCACTCCTAAGAATTTGGAACGCCAGTTCAAGCTGTCCACGTGTACTATCGAATCCTGTCATGCGTACAGTCCTGAGATGCTTGTGCACACACACTGAACTTAATTTATCTAACTGACCACGCTTTGTGTAGATCGGTGCACTAGGACAGTACATCTGCATATATGGAAGAACAAATAAATAATTCACTGCAAGTTAGTGAAAATCTTGGAGATTGGATAACCTTTTTATTTACAGAAATATGGTTCAATTTGGAATGTTCAGAAGCTTAATTGTGATGTTTTAGCAATTGGTCTTACATTGAGTTCCAGCTCTTCCAGACATGGTGCCATCTCCAGTAGCGAAGCCAGGCGAAGGATTCCGCTGATATTGTCCGAACTTCCCTGGACATCGATGTTCAAGATCAGATGCTTCAGATTGTTGAACCTGCCATTGCTTTCTGCAAATCCTCGCGACTAAATGGCGATACAGTCATGGTCAGAAAGGCGAGATGTGAAGTTGCATATACCATGAACATTATATTAGAGCGAAATATACTTGATTTTGCTGAGCTCTTGAACAGTACTCACCTCAGTTCTGACTGTCATGTTGATGGAGAGACGATCCTGCACGCGATGAAGACCACCAGCTGGAAGCTCAGTGGAGACATAGCTCAAACAATCCGAGAATGACACCAGCTCGATCGTCGCCACCGACAAGTTCAGGCATTCGGCAAGCACAATCGGTATCGGATAGTTGGTGAGCTCGAATTCTGTCAGATTCGGTGCTTGCAGATGCAGCTTCTGCAGCCTACACTTGCGCACGCACAGATACCGCAACCGGCACAACTTCTGGCAGATGCTCCGATGTTGCAATGAACACTGTGTCAGGCTTAACCACTCCAAAACATTGCAGTGGGAGAGCAGGCACTGCAGATCTCCCCTGATGGACACCATGTGCAATCCAAGCTTCTTCAGGTTTGTGAAGCCACTGAGATTGAGATCAGGAGGTATTGTCAGGGAGACGAACCCTAGGGAGAGAGACCTGACGCAGTTGTCACCAGAGAAGAAGATATGCAGGGGGAAACTGTACATGCCATTCATCATGTCAGTGTCCTCTTGATCTTCTGGACAGAGATCAAGAACAATCTGCCCAGCTCTTGAAGCAGCAGAGAAGCTAACCCATCCGTCAATGTGATGTGCATCATCTCTCCCAAGGAGAGGGAATTTCACTATGAAATTCTCCAGAGAGGATGACCTGAACTGCCACAAGATGCTGTTTACACGAGAGATGAAGGTAGCAGCCAGGCGGTCGTCAGCTGTTATGCTGCCATGGAGCATTGTTTGTCTGGTGAAGACAAGATTTGGGTAGCATCTCCAAAGCCTTCTCCAGCTCCTAGACACCATGCTCGTCCTTGCAGCTTCTTTGAAATGTAATCGTGAAAATATGTCGCAGATAATATCCTGCAGAAGCAGCAGATCAGAACAAGGGAAATAGCTCAGCAAATTAACCTTTTCTTTGGAGTCCCTTTACCAAGTTATTTTCTGCATTCCCATGTAACAATCTCTACTATAACAAAGAGCCTCTCACCACCATCTCTAGAACTGATGGGGTACTACTGGGATCTTTTAAGGGCAGATACATAGATATTTTGTGCATGTAGCTTGGCTCCATGATTGAAGTTTGCTTGCAAGTTATATTTTTTCCATGAGAAATATATATATATATATATATATATATATATATATATATATATATATATATATATATATATATTATGTTTAGAATTTACTGCTATATGCTTTGTCAAATCCGTTGCAATGCAGGTATTTTGCTAGTTAAGTAAGAAGTACATGGAAAATCATGGTTTTACTTACAGGAGGTAGGCGGTGAAGCCGAAAACTACCATATCTTGCCCTCTTATTGAGACCAGATCTGACACATCCTTTACTGTTTGATACTTTACCATAAACCATGTGGCTTGTTTTTGTCATCCAACAAAACTAGTAATCTGAATCTCAGAGATAGAGTATGTAAGAAAAGAAAACACAGCAAAATAAGTGAATGATATATGAGGAAAGTATAACAAGTATATAATTCAAAGGTATCGAAATGTTTTCGCCGGTTCAGCATTGTTCAACTGCACAACACTATAAACCCTGCCTGTCCAATTAGTCCTTGAATCTGATACTGATATTAACACAGAGAACAAAACCACCTACAGTTTGGAAGGACTAGTGACGAAACAACACGATAACACAACAAAAAGAAATTGGGAAGCGTTTGCAACTTTGCATGGAATGCAAAACATGATTTTCCAAAATCAATTGGTCATATTGCAAGGATATTTGGATATGGATTGAAGATGTCCAATTTGAATCAACAATAGAATTATTCTAATTCATATGTAGTCAAAACTCACATAGCCGGTATCCATATCCACCCATGTGTAAAATGGGTATACATATCCAAATGGATATATTTGATGAACAGCTACGCAATAGGACTCGCTGACCACTATATAGCTTATCAAAATCATGCATTCATGCCTCATCAAAAACTAACGCACCTCATCAAATTCCAGTATGGCATGCTCAGGGTCAATCCAGCTGTAATTTACTACTAATTTATTTGTAGTCATTCATTGTACAATCTCTATAATAATTGGCTTTGTTTGAAGCAAAGGCCCGGATGAATTCCATTATTAAAAAAAGAAAAACTCGGGGTCAACCAACTTGGAATCCATTAGAAGTTGCGGTTTGTCGCACTAATTATGTTGAGTCAAACATGGTTCTCTCGAAATTTAGGCATTTTTTTTCTTTTTGCTGGGAAATTAATTTAGGCAATTTGACATTGAAACACTGTTGACTGTGTGCGTACGTTCACAAAAGAGGGTCAGTGAATATATATGACACTGAAATTTGCCCGAAAGGAAAACACAACCCTCAAATTCCCACCGAAACATACACAAAAAAAAAGAGATGGAATTGAAGGAAACCCAATGAATAGAGTGGCATCTTGTCCTTTTTTCTTATTGAGGCCTTGTTCGGTTAATTCCCGTGAGATCTTGTTCGGTTTGGAGAGGGTTGAAGGGGATTAGATGGGTTTGAGGGAGAATAATTCCACACCAAAGTAGAAGTGGAATAAATCCCTTCCAATTCTTTCCTCTTGGGGATTAACCGAACATAGTCTGAGGGAGGGATTAGAAAAGATTTATTCCACACCTATCGCGGTGTAAAATTATTCTCTCTTAATCCCTTCCAATTTTCTTCAATCCCCTCTAAACCGATCCAGGCCTGAAGGGGGCAGTGTTAGGAAGGAAGCTAACCTAGGCGCCAGTTTGTAAGAGCTAGCCGTTGGTCGCCGGCCGTTTGCCTCGCCGCCCTAGGGTCCCTACCTACGTACTTCTCTCTCCCGGCTCACCTCCGATTCTTTCTCCGGTTCAAAACTGCTCGGCGAATAGTGGAATTTTTTTCCCCTGTTTATTTATATGGGCCTAGGTGGACACAGGGCTGTTTGATTCGGGCCCAGCCCAGCCCTGGCTGGAAACGGATTCGAGTCTGATCGGTTTCGCATGCAGTTTTACAGATTATTAATAACTCCCGTATATACGTACCCTGTGGAAAACTGCGTCAAGAATTTGGCTTTTCTGTTTATATATAGGGCTAGTATTAACAAATCGTTTTCGTTTCAAAAATAATAAAAAAAGTAGTATATATTACATCGCTTTTTTACACAAAACTCCGAAAAGATCTTCCTATCCCCCCCCCCCCCCCCAAAATCCTCCTGTTGGGCCTCCTACCTTGAAAAGGAAAAAAATCACTCAGCTCACATCATCGTCGTCTCCATCACCAGCGAATAATTCGAGCTCGACAACTCCTTGGGTAAGGAAACCCCTAATCTAGTAATCTGTCTTCGCTCCGCTCTCATCTCGATTTGGTTTCTGTGTGCGTGGATAATCGAAATCCAGATCGTTTTCTCTTTCTCCCAATTAGACTACAGGCCATTCCGGCTGGTACCTCGTAGTTGTGGGGATTATTGGTTTTTTCTCCTCCGGTTTCATAATTCTTTACCGTTTTGGATAATGACACGGTCTGCAAAATATATATTTGACTTTATTTTTCTATTATAATATATACAATAAGTAAATGCATGTTTATTTTTCTTATATTACTTTTGAAAGATAAATCTACAAATGTTATTCTAGTTCCTTTAAACTAAATATTTCTAAAATTGTTAATAATCAAAGTTACAAAATCTTGACTTCAACCTTATCCAAAACGTCAAGGATTAAAAATGTTATTCTAGTTCCTTTAAACTAAATATTTCTAAAATTGTTAATAATCAAAGTTACAAAATCTTGACTTCAACCTTATCCAAAACATCAAGAATTATGGAAGTGTTGATGCTAGGGATTCTATTTCGGGGCCAGCTGGAATAAGCTACAATTTGTTTAGTTTGTATGTGTTCTCTGATGATGTGATAAGCATTGCAATTGCAATGGGAGCACTTTGAAGTCGAAAATGATCTTTAATTATGAGAAAGACCAAATATTTTGCTTGTAGGATTGTATGTTTGCCTGTAATATTCTTGTACAACTAGTTCTGTAGCATCGAAAAATTTTAAGTTTAGTAACTGTTATAAAGTGTGTTTTAAAAAAGGGATGATTAAGCTACACATAAAAGTGTGTCACGGCCTTCATTGCTAGGCTGGCACCAAGTATAGGACCAAGCAACACCAATGACTCAAGGCCCAAAAGGAATTGACGACCCAACATGCTATACAATGATTTTTTTTTTTCATTTTTAAATTTTTTGTTTTAATATTTACATAAATATTATACCGGCGAAAATATTTATAAAAATAGACCCTGCCGCAAGGGCGGTAAGGAGGTGAAATGCAATTTTCGCCATATGCAAAATTCGCATGCCCGCTCATCGGCCTTTGTCACCCTGCCGCCCTCTACGAGGGCTGCAGGGTCTATTTCTATAAATATTTTGACCGGTATAATATTTCTGTAAATATTAAAAAAAAAAAATTGAAAACGAAAAAAAAATGTGGGAGGATGTATGTATGTGTGGAGGAGGGGTATAGAATCTGTATTGGCTAACCTGAACTGCGGCTCTGGAATCCCAATCCCCTTCTCCTCTGCCTTATTTCCTCCACCTTCCTCGAACCCTTTTAATTCTTTGGCAAGTTATCCTGATCGAGAACGAGGAATGTGACAACATGATTAACATATGATTGATTGAACATTACTTATTAAAAATTTGCAGGATAGATTTATTTGATTTTTTAAATCAACTTCTATATAGAAAGCTTTTGTACGAAATACACCGTTTAGCGGTTTGAAAAACGTGCTAAAGGAAATCAAGGAAGTAGCTAAGTCAAACAATATGAACCAAAGTGCCTCGGTTCATACACTATCCTTTATTTTATTTATGTTGGCTGGCTTCGAGCAATCTTCCAATGGTATTATTGTGAACCAGTACACTTTGGTGTTATGTTTCAATACTCATCATTTTCAGGGTTACAATTTACAAATCCATTTTTTAATTCTATATACCTGTAATGCAGATGTTCTGATTTTTATTTCAGTGGAAAAAAAATGAGAGCCGTGGTTCATGGTAAGGGGACAAAGAGTGAAGGCTGTGCCAGGATCAATATGAAGAAGAGGATATCCCAGGCTTTTCGACTTCACCGGCTACCTCCTGTAAGTAAAGCCATGACTTACAGAGTTACAGTAAGCTAATTACAGTGGGACTATATACTGCATACTCATTGATTTATCGCTAGCCTCGTGCATGTACATATCTTTTAATGTAATTGCAAGAAATATATGATTTGTTTTGTAGAGCTTTAACTTCTAAATTTAGCTCCGGGAGTTAGATCGGGAGTGGAGTTGTGGAGCAGCCTAAACCCAGTTCCATATCTCTAGTTCATTTTGTGAGAGCGCTACACTCTACACCCACGTCAGTTCTCATTTTAGGTGGAACTGAAATTGTTTGGTTGGGCTCCAGCTCAAAGAGAAGTGGAGTTGGAGCTAGTACTGTGCCAAACAGTCCCATATTGTGCTAAACTGCTATCTCTAAAGGCTTAAAGCATGTTGGTCAAGAAATGAGTTATTTTCCTTTAGAAAGACAAAACTCTAGCTTATTTAATTTGTGTCATGTTTCTGCAGGATGTTTTGCGTGTCATACTATCACAATTGTCATTCAAAGAAGCTGCACGTACAAGCGTTGTGTCCAGGAAGTGGAAACGGCTTTGGAGATGCTACCCAAAGCTGGTCTTGACCGGAGATATGATGCTTGGCAGCAGCAGCAATGCTGCAGGAGACCACCCAACATCGAATAAAACAACATTTATCAGGCGTGCCAACAGTATCGTGCGGCAGCTATCATCACCATCAGCTACGCTCAACAAGTTCATAGTGAAATTTCCCCTCCTCCAAAGCGACGCAGATCACATCGACAGATGGGTCAGCTTGTCAGCATCATCAAGAGCAAGGCGAATTGTTCTTGATCTGTGCCCAGAACTCGAGAAGTTCGGTGACAAAGACCAAATGTACAGCTTCCCTCTTCATCTTTTCAGTGTTGGTGGTAGTAATTCTTGCGTCAAGTCTCTCTGCCTAGGCTTTGTCTCCCTGAATCTGCTTCATCAGCTGTCTCCTGCTGGTAATACCAATCGCTTGACAATCCTGAAGAAGCTTACCCTGCACAAGGTGTCCATTGCTGGTGATCTTCAGAGCTTGCTCCTGGAGTGCGATGTTCTCGAGTGGTTAAGCCTCACCTTCTGCTCCCTGCAACACCGTGATCTGGTCATCCAACACCAGCAGCCACTGCAGCGTCTGCGGCATCTGCGTGTGCTGCACTGCAGGCTGCAGAAGCTGGAGCTGCAGGCTCCGAATCTGACTGAGTTTGAGTTTGCTAACCACCAGGTGCCTTTGGTGCTTGGTGATTGCGTCAACATGTCGATGGCGTCGGTTGGGCTGTTGCTGCCGTCGGATGGCTTCGACTACGCCTGCACCAAGCTTCCGTTTGCTCTTCCTCATGTTTGTGACCGTCTCACTCTAAGCATGGCGATCAGAACTGAGGTACGTTTGTGCTGCACATCTTAATTAATTTCATGGTACAAATACTACCTTCAAATTATAAGAACCAATATTAGTATTACAAATCTAGTTAGGAGACTATATCCAGATTCATAGCACTGGCATGTGTCTTGTCCCATACTAGATTACTATATCATGGTACGAAGGGATCGAACAGTTGACAACTTTTATGATGATCTTTACTGGTTCAGTAGAAACAATATGGATTGTCGATTTGTGATAATATATTGTTTTACAATCTCCTTGGTTTCTTAGAAACAAACACCACCTATGATTTCCGCGTAATTTTCACACTAGTTTGAATGCATGCAGATGTACTGTGCGAATACGCCATTCTACACCTCCGATCTGGATGCGGCGGCGACAACGCCGGCGGCTCGTCTCCACGAGCGGCTCAGGACCGTCTACATGACCGGGTTCTACGGCATCCGTGGCCAGCTAGAGCTGGCGCACCGGATACTCCGGAGCACGGTCGCTCTCGACCGTCTGATCATCGATCCGACGCGCAAGGTTGACCACGATTTCAGAAACCAGGCCTACGCAGGCATGGGAAGGACCATGGCTACACTGTATTAACAAAGCCCAGTTCCCTGGCACTGTGATTACTATTCTGTAGCAGAAACTCACAAGGAAAATCATATATAATTTTTATTTGTTTATTTATCTTTTGTTATTAGTCTCAGATCTCTGTTTGTGTTATTTGGCATGAAATCTATTCTGTAGTAGGAACTCACAAGGAAAATCATATGTAGTTTTTATTTGTTTGTTTATTTATTTATCGTTTCTGTTATTAGTCTCAAATCTCTCTTCATGTTATTTGGCATGAAATCTCTGCTGCATTTTGATGGTTGTAGCAAGTGGAGGTGGATGTTATGTTAACAGATTTGGTGGTTTGGTGATAGGTTGATTTTGTGTATATATTTCGAGCAAGGTGATTGTATGATGGAAAAAAAAAGCTTTTATTTTCCTTTTCTTAGCTTTACTGGAGACGAATGATGGAACACGGATTATGGATTATTTTCGATTGTCTAATAATGTCGCCCACAATATTTTCGGTCGACTAATTATAGAAGGGAAAAATGAACACTTGATGATGTTCATGCTTCATCCGTTTTGTTTAAGCTGAAATTTTGATCCTTAAGCATTTTTTTTCACCTATGCACAAGTGCGGATAGACTGAAATTATTCAACAAGATGTTCTTGGTATAGGAAACAATCAAATCTCTGGAGAACTATCAAGGACGACGGTTTCAAACCCTTTATTTTTCATTGCAAATCATATTAGGCACTCGATACCCAACAATATAACTGTACACATGAAACCTGCAGATTCATGGGAGGGAAGCTTTCCAGTCCTAGCTTTATTTCTAAGTCCCTCACATGAACCTCAGCAGCATGACAAGCCAAAGAATCAATTGCGATGTTTATTCTGCTGTTCACACTTATTGCAAGCAATTGAATTGCGGGATAACCATTTATCTACGCATGGCACGCCACAAATCGTTTGTCGTTCTGCACATCTAGCACGAATGGCCGGTCGAGACCCTGTGCCATGTGTCCATGTAGAGCCAACCAGCTAGTTGATGGTTTAACAGCAGCTCACAGCGATAGGCTCAGTAGCTTTCCTCAGCCATTCCTTCTCCTGCTCGTTCAGGTATGGTTGCAGAATTTTTCGGCAATCTGCGTGATATGCGTTTACCCATTCAATCTCGGCCGGGGTCAGCAAAGTGGTGTCTATCAGTTTTGTCTGGTATGGAGCCTGCATAACACGAGAAACCGGTCAATACATGAGCAAACAAATGATGCGGGTGCACAACAAGCATTACATGTTAATGAACTACTCCCTATGTCCCTAAATATAAGAGATTTTGGTTGGATGTGACATATCCTAGTACAATGAATATGGACAGGCTTCTAGTCCAGATTCGTTATACTAGGATGTGTCACATCCAACCAAAATCCCTTATATTTAGGGCCGGAGGGAGTAGTGAACTGGTGAGCATCATTTTGTACGTGGAGATCCAGTCGAACTGGTAACAAGGCTGACCTAAAAATGTTCATAAAGGTGTAAACAAAGCAACAAGTTACTAACAAAAACACAATACGTTATCAACCAGAATATCTTGTCAAATTGATGAAGACTGTATTTACGAAATACTGAAACTTGGAGAAACACTACAGTTACCAAAGAGAGTTAACAATTTAATAAAATGGAGATTGAAGAAACAATACTTACCCATGTTATATGTTCAAATGCCAAATAACCCTTATCTCCGAAATTATATTTAGTATTAGCCTCTTTAACTATCAGAACATTCTCCAATCTTATACCAAAGCTTCCATCTTCATAGTAACCAGGTTCTGCAAGAAAAGATTGTGCAATTTGAACTTTACATCGATCATTGCAGCAAGACGGACTACCATTGAAGTACCAACTCGTCCTACTATAACAAACAGTGGTTCGGTTAGGAAATACTGACCGTCTGTTACAGTCATCGATGCTTGTAGTGGTATATTTCTAGCAGAAGGTCTGAAGCTAATTAGATGAGGACCTAGATTAAGAGCACAAACAATATGGATTAAACATTTCAAAGGTAGAACTACAATCAGATAATTTACTGTCATAGAAGAGGATGAACCAGTAACTATCTGACCTTCATGAACATTCAAATAAGACCCAATTCCATGGCCTGTGCCATGCCGATAGTCCAGACCGCTTCTCCAAAGTGGTGTTCGTGCGAGAATATCAAGAGCATGCCCTGTAAAGGTTTACATAGCGTATACCATCACAATCCATAATAAATTGTCATGTCTTTTGTTGAAATCTAACTTGCAAACTAAGTATAACACAATGAACGTGTCAGAACTCAGAACATGGTAGTATAAATCTTGCAAGTTTCTGATCTTTTTTTCAAATTTAGAGAGGTTGTCTATCACATTAAATAACATTAGTGACTAGTGGAACCTTCTTACAGTTTCCAAATGTTAAAGATTGGACATTATCTTTGAGACTGAGGCTTTAAGAAAACATGATATCGCATGTTTATATGTTAATGCGCTCAAATAAAGAACAAATGATTGTAACTCGTACACTATTAGGTGATGTTAAATCCCCGTGGTAAATCTGGCATCCATTTTATCATTAGGGTAACACATGATCAATATTAAATCTCCTGAGTTCATATAGATAGAAGTATGAAAGCTCAAAACACTCACCTGTCGTTCCATTGGGAAATACAGCACTGTCTAGTGCAATATGGCCTTTCAAAACCTATTTCCAATGTTCAATATCACTTGCATTAGAAATAGATCAAATAGTAGAAAAAAAAGTCAAAATTACATGGACCATATTTAGCTACAAACTATTAGATTCAAGCATTTAAGATGCTGTTTATTTCTACAAAGGAAATCAAGTAACAAGCCTGTAAAGAAAAACTCGACCAGCCACCTTTGGCATAATATTCAACAACGGAATTTGCAGTTCCACTAAGTAGGGACAAATGAGGAAACCAATAGCATTTCAAAGTGTCAGGAAACAAACTTTCAATATGTTGCATGTCAGTCACTAAGTTTTTCAATTCATGATAAATAATACTACGATTAAATATAGATGAGTTGACAGTTATGTAGCTAGTAAAACACATGTCCCATTGGTCAAGGTAGCAATGAAGCAAGGTTACGCCGGTAAGGTTCCAGCTCAGGTTAACTGATTATTGGACACTCATAATATGCTAGCAAGGTGCAGTTACACTGGTAAAGTTTCAGTTCTGGTCAATTGATTATTGGACACTCATATTATGCTAGCAAAGTGTAGCACCCTAGAACTTAGAAAACACAATGCAAATTCAAGCAAATCAAATATGTGAAAGAAAAACATCAAAGTGATGCTTCAACAAATGATTTATTCAGTAACTTCTAGCCTTCTAGGATGTCAACACAATTATGGTTCTTAATCCCAAATAGAACTTAGTATGTAACACTGTGACATGTCATTCGTTCTAAATAAAAGAAAATTTTAGCAAGTGGTGAAATAAAACTTACAGCTGTGTAGCATGACTTCTCATGCTCAGAGGGTTTCCCAAAATGTACAGTTCTTGTAATGTCTGTAGTACCATCAAGATACTGCAAGCATACCACCATAGAAAGAATTAGGCCCTAGTAAATCTTTTATCACAAAATTTTAGTTTGGACTGAAATGTACTCAACCTGAGCCCCAGAGTCACAGAGATATATTTTATCAGCATCAAGTTCAGCACATGAACTTGCTTCAGGTGAATAGTGAATCACTGCTGCATTTGGTCCCACGGATGAAATCGTAGGGAAACTCAGACCTTTGAAGTGCTGCAGAAATATTACCATAGTCAAAAGATGCAGTACAACAAGAGACCATGAACTGCAAAAATGCCCTCAAGCAAAGGTTTTCTAGTTTCTATATATATCTAGCAAAAACCTAAGAAAAGATATTCCACGAAAACAAGTCCTATTGTTATTACTTTGACATAAACACACAGTAAGCAGAGAAAGAGGGAACTATTGAAGACCCTCAATGTCCTGAATTAAGAGCTCAGAGTGAACGCAGTACTGTGTGTTTACCTACATCAAAGTATAATGTCATCCAGAGAGTAATCTTTTATTAAAAAAAAATCATGCTTAACGATACACTCCAAAGAACAGTAAAAACTTCTTCTCAAAAATTGCACAAGAAATATTTAGTTAATATTTTTTTTTCTTTCATGGTATAGTAGCTCTAACGGATACAGATGGGCATTAGTTATATTAGTTCTAAAGGTGCAATGGATATTAGTGGTCGCTACAACAAAGTTATAGGTAATTATGAGGAACTTGTTTATTTTAACATGCTTACTGGATTTTGACTCTAAAAGTGGTAATGACAGTAACTCTATGTTTATTATGGCAGTTATAAATGATTTCTATAGTAACATAGTACATTTGAGCTTGAAAAAAGAGTGACGGTTAGCAGCATACCTCTTTAGATGCACGGAAACCTTCAAGTTTATCACTCACAGAAACCTCAGTAAGTTTTACTTCCCTACAGGAGTGAACAAAAATATTAACAACCAAATGCACACCATTGTTCATAAATAATAATTGATTGCTACTCCGTATAATGCATAGACCAAATGATGTGTACGGAAATGGTAATATTCTTTACAAAAATCAGGCTAATGCAGAAGATGCAGAAGTGTGTTTAGCGTAAGCATGAGGTGCTGAGATGCAGAAGTGAACCATACTCCCTACAATCATAAATATATGTCGTCTGACTCTTTTGTCTACGGAGTGTGCCTTTGAACATGATTTCTCTATTTATGACAAGTTCATAAAAATCTAATAAGTTTATGATAATATGAAAAACACATTTCAAGGCAATATCTATGCATGCCATTTTTATGTTTTCAAACTTAGTATTTTAAAATTTATTGATGGTCAAAGTTTCAAAAGTTTGACCGGAAAAAAAGTCAAATGATATATTTGTGGATAGAGGGAGTATGTTGCCAAAAGAACCATACGGACAATCTCAGAGCATACTCACATATGCTGCTTTTTCTGTGATCCCTTGGCCTCACTAAAGTAACCAGAAGCTCCATAGTTCTCTTGCATCTGTCATTAAAACAAGATCATCAGAGCAAGTAGAAAATAATTAGGACTACAGCACAATTAAATAAAATTGCAGGTGCAAATCAAACTGCCATATCCACAAACAATAGCATAGGAACAATACTTGCTTAAAGTCCAGCTAATAGCCACATGAGAAACAAATTTACACTGACCTGATTGTCAAGCCAAGCCAGGTATTGCACAACAGCAGCACCATCTCGAATATGTGCCTTCCTCAAACCATCCAGCTCCACGGGATTCTGTACCATCATTACAAGAAATTTAAAACATAGGTATACGGATTAATAAATGATGAAACTTGCAATGGCATATAGCATATTTCAAACCATCCAGCTCTACAGGATTTTATCGATCATTAGAAGAAACACAAAATATAGTCATGCATAGATTAAAAAATGGTAAAACTTTTAATATCAAAGCCAATTTTACATAGATAAAAAAACTAAAATAAATAGCATGAAACAAAAGGAATACTTGAACAAAATACACTTCTGGTGTAAAATGTTATATTTCCATTCTTCTGAATACTTGAACAAAATACACTTCTGGTGTAAAATGTTATATTTCCATTCTTCTGGTGTAAAGATGATGCACTTCTAAACTGGCCTAACGTGAAACACTTCCTTCATATGAAGATGTTTGTTTATACTGTGAAACTTGTAAAATGTGACAGGATCTTTGTTTCTCTTGGCACACAACTTCAATTTAACTACTGCAATATTCCATTAAACTGATACCAGTTGAACTAGAGCAGTT